TTGTTGGCAACAGGTGAGTTACATCACAAGTAGAATGTAGGTTAAATGACCAATAGTTCCACAGAGGGTATACCGTATTAGATAAGATCTTGTGTTTAGCAGTGGAGATACGGTACTACTGTCTTAAGGAACTAGGTAAGTGACATTGTTGGTAACAGGTGAGTTGCATCACAAGTAGATTGTAGGTTAGATGACCAATAGTTCCACAGGGGGAATAACATATAAGAGAAGACCCCATGTTTGGTAGTGGAGATACGGCACTACTGTCTAAAGGAACCAGGTAAGTGACGTTGTTGGCAACAGGTGAGTTACATCACAAGTAGAATGTAGGTTAAATGACCAATAGTTCCACAGAGGGTATACCATATTAGAGAAGATCTTGTGTTTAGCAGTGGAGATACGGTAATACTGTCTAAAGGAACCAGGTAAGTGACATTGTTGGTAACAGGTGAGATACATCACAAGTAGAATGTAGGTTAGATGACCAATAGTTTCACAGAGGGTATAACATATCAGAGAAGACCCCATGTTTAGCAGTGGAGATATGGTACTACTGTCTTAAGGAACTAGGTAAGTGACATTGTTGGTAACAGGTGAGTTGCATCACAAGTAGATTGTAGGTTAGATGACCAATAGTTCCACAGAGGGTATAACATACTAGAGAAGATCCTATGTTTAGCAGTGGAGATATGGTACTACTGTCTAAAGGAACCAGGTAAGTGACATTTTTGGTAAAAGGTGAGTTACATCACTAGTGGAATGTAGGTTAGATTACCAATAGTTCTGCTGAGGGTATAACATTTTAGAGAAGATCCCATGTTTAGCAGTGGAGATACGGTACTACTGTCTAAAGGAACAAGGTAAGTGGCATTGGTGGTATCAGGCAGTAGCGGCTAGCCCATAAGGACTCTCGGACACCGCCCTTCCAACAATACAGAAATCAATATTTTTTGTATTTATGTAATAAAAAAATAATCTGTCGTAAGTTAAATTTAATTACAATTACTTACGAATACTTTAATCAATATGATAATAATATGAAATGACATTAGTTTTAACTTTGAATCCAGTAATGACTGTTTTGCAATAGTCGCTTTCATAATGTGGATTGTTAGATCACAACAGGTGAGTTGCATCACAAGTAGATTGTAGGTTACCAATAGATGACCAATAGTTCTTTAGAGGGTGTAACATATAGAGAAGATTTAAATTCTTAGCTGTGGAGATACAGTATTACTGTCTAAAGAAACCAGGTAAGCGAGATTCTTGGTAACAGGTGAGTTTCATTACAAGTAGAATGTAGTTTAGATGACAAATAGTTCTTTAGAGGGTGTAACACATTAGAGAAGATTGAAATGTTTATAGGAGATACGGTACCAACTGTCTAAAGGAACCAGGTAAGCGAGATTCTTGGTAACAGGCGAGTTACATTACAAGTAGAAAGTAGGTTAGATGACAAATAGTTCTTTAGAGGTTGTAACATATTTGAGAAGATCCCTTGTTTTAGCAGTGGAGATACGGTACTACTGTCTAAAGGAACAAGGTAAGTGAGATTTTCGGTAACAGGTGAGTTATATTACAAAGTAGAATGTAGGTAAGATGACAAACATAATTTACAGAGGGTAAAACATAATGGAAAAAATCCAAATGTTTAGTAGTGGAGATATGGTACTTACTTCCGTCTAAAGGAACCAGGTTAGTGATTGACAGTGCTGGTAATAGGTGAGTTACATCACAAGTAAAATGTAGGTAAGTTGTTGATGACATGCAACTTACGTTATGTGGGTGATGTAGTTAAGGTGCAAAAGCATATTCTTTTAACTCGGTAGTGGTTGCATAGCTGTGTAAATGACGGGGTTTGTACTTTATTGCATACAAATTATAGTCACCACCACACTACATCCAGGAACTCTGTTACTGCCATACACATACATACTTTTTGCCATCCTTTACCTCCTCATTTTTAGTCTACGACAGCTTTTCGTCATGTACTGGTCGATTCCTACGTGTGCGTCTCCTTGTGTTTTGGAATTACCCGTCAATGAGACCTTGTGTGTCTCCTTGTGGTTTGTAAATTAATGCTTATCTATATATTAATACGCATGCAGTTTTCTTTTCACAGTCATAACTCGATAATGGCTTGACGGATTTTAATGTATGAGGGGTCAAATTAAAGGTATTTTCACATAGATGTGCAAATACGTCTCAGAATATTGAAAAAGGGCATCACTTAAGTACAGTTAAGGGCTAAAGTTTGGGAACAGTGGCGCTATCTTTTGACATTTTATCAAATCATCAAATTCAATTCCCTTTGTTTACAACAAAACATATGGACGTAATTTGAAATAGTTTTTAAGTATAACCACAGACTGCAGGACTTATTACATCCAGAGCAAATCCGGAATATTATATTTTTATTTTTTTTTAATTTATTTTTTTTTTAAAGAGGTTGGCGGCCTCTTTTAACCTTGCATTTGCCAGTCCACATAGACTAAGCGCCCGTGCGTGGATCGTTTACAGCAAAGCAAGGAGTGAGCCGGTACGGTACAAAAATGAACTGTACTGATAAAATGTTATCGGCAGTGACCAGGATCCGAACCCACGACATCGCTGCCTTGGGCCCGAAGTCCGCGACGCTACCGACTGAGCCACCGACTCACTAACATCATTTAAACATCTGCTAAGTATGGTTCATAAATAAAGAGGTTCCCAGCAAGACTAGACAACAAATTGTTTGTAATAGTTGAATTTATTTACCTTACATAGTATTTTACTGAATTATCATGTAGTGTTTGGTTGGTTGGTTCCACTTCGGTGTGATTAAGTAAATATTTGAATGTGATTATTCCCAGTGCAGTTACCCGTTACATAACCGTATTATCATGTAATTTACAATGTGTATCAAAATTTCTCTGTAGTGTTTTCTGTTGATTGGTTAACATTAGTATTTGATCTAAATTTAAAATTAAAAGAAATGCCACCAGTAAGACAAAGAACTGTGAGTGGCTGGATGGAACGCAAACGTGGCCGCTTGCATCAACCTCCCAATTTGACGGATACAGAGTGGCAGTACCGCTGTGGTGATACATCCAATCTCGCACAAATGAACGTTAAACTTTTACATGTGGTGGCTTACGTTTTAAGCAAGAAAAGACTGGCCAAGACAGTTCAATTTTTGCACTTGTTTGCCATAAATGAAAGGTGTGTTTACCTCATTTGCGGAATTCACCATACTTTCAGGAACTTATTAGAAACTCCCAATCTGAAAACAGGGCTGTGAGGCTTGGATCCAGAAATTATCTTGATGAAATTCTTCAATTCAATTCCGCCTTTGCCATGGTCAGCTCTGAAGCTCATTTTGACGAGAGGGTCACATAGGGATCTAAAATTTCAAGATCCATGACAAGTTTTACCACCGAGTAGGTAATCTAAGTCCTCAAGAAGGTCATGATCCTGAATACTCACAGATCTATAAGTACGACGTTGGCACTGGAACCCAACAGCGCATGTAAAACAATTCAAACATAAAATGCAATGAAAAAATATGCGGGAAATAGGGTCACAATGCCAACCCATCTGCCCAATCTTTTAAAACCTTGGCAGAAATTTGTAGGGACTAGAGCTCTGAGGAGTCAAGTTAGATTCTTATGTGCATAGTAAGAGACGAAAGAAGTGACTTCCCTCGAACAATGATGCTACCTGTATATATGTCGCAGCTATTTTAAAGCTGAAAACAGAGCACCCTCTGGCCAAATAAATCTTTTCTATTTTTTTTTTCAAAAATTAATAGTGTTAAACATGAATCCGTTCTAGATACTTCATTAAATCAACTCTTATGTTCCCAACCGGAGACTTTGGTTGGGGCACCTAATTTAAACACGCCATAAACAGAACATATCGTAGAAATAATTTAACAATGCTATAGTACGTGTCGTACTGGTTGGAGTCAAGAGAGGGATTTAGCTTGCTACATTAGGTCTGAAAAGCTCACTTTACAGTGTGTGGTTGACATCCTACGTTCTCATGGAGGGCACACATCTACAGTCACAGAAAACGTACGTTTTCTGTGCTACAGTCCATAAGAGATTTAACCAAAGTAGTATGAGAACGGATCTATATCTAAATATTGTAGGCCTACCGTTGATTACTTTTATAATTTTTTTCATTATAATATTTTCCACATTTCTATAGTGAGTCATAGAAATTACTTTAGAGTGACTCTATGATTGAGGTTTTGCTGTTTATGATTTTGGTTCTTTATATTTTTTTTTAAGTTGCAGTTTTGCTCAATTTTGAGCAACAGGTTATCAAGTTATTATTATTACCTCTTTTTTATTGGGTACAGTTTCAATTAATTAGTATTACCATTAAATTATGTGCTGGGCCACAGAGAAGTATTTATGTACCGTAGTGGCTAGACATAGAATCAAGTAAAGTATAGTTTTTGATGATGCTTTATTTATATTGTGGAAATGTGTGTGTTATTTAGTAGAGGGGTACGTTTGTGAAAGGTTGTAAAAGTTTTGTTGATTCTTGCTCATTCAGTAGCTTTCTTTGTAATTCATATATAAAAAGGCTTGGCTAAAATTTAAGAATTAGGGGTAAAAAAAACTGAAAGTTAGTTGGTCTAATAAGTTTCCTTTTTTAAATTTTATCATAGAGTCAAAGTAATTTTAAACATGCATCAGCGCCACTTATGTACTGTGCTTGGCTGCCAGGATAGTTTGAACCCCTCATCTGAATTAAAAGAAAATAGTTTTACCACACTAATGTTGGAAAGTGTTATGTTTCCAAAGTAAACAATATAAGTTTAGCTATTTCATACACCATACGCTATTTAAAGAACAGCATATTAAGCTCTTTGGCATGCTTCCCTGTTGCGAAGCACGGATATAGCAGCTTGTTTGTAATTAAGATTGTAAAGAATTTATATTTATTAGCTAAGGGAAAATAACAAGGATGGATTTGTAACACAACATTTTAATATTTCATTACCGCAGTGAGCTAAACATTTACAAATGTATAGTATAAAACACATAAATTAGGCGATATAAAACAATCTTCCTTAATTAAAATAATTCTGCAGATAAATAACTTACAATACACAAAGTACGCAACATACATGCATCAATCATAAATAAAGTACTTCAAGTACCACAGTCATACCATTGCTCAATGCATTTACATGGCACCATTCGTTTCCTAGTCATTGATCACATTGCATAAAGGTGTCTTTAAAAGCTACTCTTTGAGCCCTTATATAACAAACTTATAGAATAATCGATAACCTGGCAGTGAAACTCTTCAAGAAAAACTAATAAAAAATATGGCAGTAGAATTACTATGTATTGGTTTATATTTTTGGCTGTTAACTTTTCGCTTCATCTTCAAAACACATATTAATTATTGGCCTACACAAAAATTGCTAACATTGATGGTAAAAGTACTTTAAGTACATATTGATTTTGTGTTTATTCTAATTAGGTCTGAATGGTCTGATAGTAAAAATTTACTGTAATAAGATCAGCAATTATAGAATATAGATAGAGGTTGTCCAGTAAAATAAATTTCAGATCTTTTGGATGGCTAAAAAAAAAAAGAACGTTTATAAAATATAGACATTTAAAATATAAATTACTTTACACACTCACAAGTGGACCAGGTCATATACATCAGATAATAACATATAATGATATACCAAACAGCTTGAGAGATTTTTTAAATTAGTAATTATTTTAATGACGCCATGTCATGGTAACCACATTTGAGCACAAATTAGTTTTGGAATACTGTAGGTAGGTGTTAACTCAACAAAATTTAGGAAGGAATTCTTAAACTGTTCATTGATATAACAACTATTTCCCTACTTAACAAATATTCATAAATATGTGTTCCAAAAATATTATCATTACCTTTTAGTACCAATATCACTTGTATAATATTTTCCCTGGACTACTCAGGGTTAGGCAGTAACATCCCTTTGCTAGATTTTTTAAAATGATAAAAAAACAGTAAAATATATTTCAATATTTTTGGCAACAGAAAATTAAACAATATTCTAAAAATTCAATACGCCAAAAATCATAATTTATTGTCAAAGTGATAGCAAATAAATTAGTGGTATAAAAATATCAATTCTGCTGATTAGAATGTGTATCCACAAAACTGCATTGTTTACCAAGCTATTTTATTAAAACATCCCTAAAATCATCATGGTTCTATCCCCTAATTAGCTTAGCTACTACTATTAATGAGCAGATCTCAAAGTATTGTAGTAACATTTATAAAAATATCTTCAAATTAATATTAAACATTCATAAAATGTACTATTGTTGATTTTGAAGAAGATCCCTAGTTCGAATTTGATTCAAACCAGCTGACATGAAAAACCTAAATAAGCATTAATCAGACATAGTTTTAGACAAAAATAAATAAATCTATTTCAAACTCAAGGTCTTTGCACCCATTTAATGAAAATTATTTGGATTATAGCAGCACAATAAATCATTTATTTTGAAAAAAACCCCTCTCTTTTGGGTAAATTGTGAAGGATTGTTGATTTAATCAGTGCAAAGTCTCTCAGACTTTCTCTGAACGCTGATTATTTCAATTTTATAAATTAAAAAAAATAAGGCTTATCTTCCATTCCGGTGTACCTGGAGATTGGCCAATGGTTCAACGCCCGGGACAGTCCCAGGTAGACCTCTGGTCAGGAGACGGAGACAGGTCCCATCATACAGACTATAAGCTGGTATCTCAATCAAAAACTGTATTCATCAGATGAATTATGTCTGACAATAGTAAATTAATTTTAAATTTTATTAAAAATGTTGTTGTATTGCTTACTGTAGTAAAATGTAATTTTGATATTTAATCCAAGTTTATTTATTAATACTACAGACCAACACCAGTGGGTGTCCGCTGGTATGATGTTCATGTAGCCTAAGAATGAAAAACATGAAATTATTTATATCCATTTTGACAAATCAAAGTTGATCTTAAATAATCAGTTGACTTTAATATAAATGGAAATGTATAAAAGTTTATCACAATTTATTGAGATATTTTTACAGTAACTGAACTACAGTAAAGTATTGGTATTTGATTTTACAAGAAAATACAGACTCAAAATAATTAAGTATGACCTTTGCTTATATTTGAAAATTTGTTTATTGAAAGTAAGCTATTTATTTAAAATAATCAAGAATAATAGTTACCTTTTGCAATTTAATAACACTATTGAGGCAAATACAAAACCTTTAAAAACACCTTAGAACTAGATTACTAGATTAATCACAAAAAGGAGTTTTGAGGTAATTTAGAGTCAGGAGGGTGACTTTTTATCTTTAGAGGGTGAAAAGTCTTTCCTATGCCTAGGCAAGGAGTGACTAGGAGTGGGGGAAGATTCAGGCGTGGCGTGGAGGATGGCATAGCAGGGAGAGGTCTCGTCGTCCTGCTGACTAGCCTCGGCTGCGGAGGGGATGGTGGTGAGGAAACGCACAGTGAGGCGTGCAGGACTGCCGGGCAACTCAGTGTCGTCTGAGATAGCACTCTGTCTAGTCAGCCGCGGCTTGGTCCTGTCACTCGCACTGCTCGCACTAGAGCGTGACACACGCGACATTGTTGTACTTGCTGTCGTTGCGGAACCTGATGAGTCATTCCTCGAACTGGACAAGTTAGAGTCCTGAGAAGTTTTACGAGTCACAATCCAAGACGAGGCACGCCTCTTGGGATCCAAGAGCCGCATTGGGATCCCGCAATGATGATGATTTTGCCTCCATGAGTCTGACCTGGAGGAGCTGAAGTTCTCGCTTGATGATACGCTGGATGCTCGTTTGTGCTGTTTTTGCTGGATCTCAGCAATCTGATAAGCGTATTGGTCAGACCTCATGCGATGCCTAGCGTCCAGATCCCTGTTGATGCAGAGGAAGAACCAGCGAAACTTGTTGAACAGCCAGATCCTCGGGGTCTGCCGCTGGGTCTGAGTGTCGTTGAGCAATTTGATGTTGCAGCTGCAAGGAGGATGTTGGTTGTGATCTCTAGAAGATCTGTCGACTAAACTGTTGGTGTTGGCTGGAGTTTGCCGATTACTAAAATTAGAACTGTGACGACACCTTCCGATTCCCCGAGTAACTCTAGATTCTTCTATGGCTTTACAAATCAAAACACAGTCTTTCTTGAACTGTTTAGTGAGAATAGCGTATAAGAATGGGTTACAACAGGAGTTTAACGGTAGTACAAACACAGTAAACACTTTGGCTTGTTCCAAAGTTACGAGATGTAGTCCAAAAGCAGCTGTTAGAGAGAAAAACGCGATCGGAGACCAGCAAAGAAAGTCTGTAAAAACTAAAAGTGCCATTCTTTTAGCTATTCTTGAGTCGTTAGAGTTCCAGGCTTGAGAACCTCTAATTGCACAGTACATTTTAAGGTAACAACCCATCAAAATGAGGAAGGCTACTCCGTTGATGAACATCAGAAATACGACATAGAGGAGACTCCCGGTGGTGCTTGTCTCGAAGGGAAGACAAGTAGCGTACTTGCGATAGTCACTAACACCGACCAGTGGCAGCACAGCCATGCCGATGGCAAATGTCCAGCCACAGAGCATGATGTAGCCGGCATGCTTGAGGGAGAGTCGCTTGTTGAGATGCATGGCGTGTGTGATGGCATAGTTACGCTCCAGAGTGATCACTGCCAGAGTGTAGACCGACAGCTCCGAGCTGAGAACAGCGAGAAACCCTGCCAGCTGACACCCGGCTGACATCTGCCAAGGGATGGCATACATCCGGAACTCTCCTAACGTGGAAGCGTCCACTACTGCCAACAGACCTGCGCAGTACAAATTTGATTAAATTGAGAAACACACTTATAAACGTCCAAAAAGTAATCAGCTTCAATGTTTTAAACAGTTCCCTCTAGTATTAAGGTGTATCATATGTATCTATTTGAACGTTTGAAATTAATTTGATTGTCTAATCAACTGAGTGAGAGTTATTAGCAGCTATACAGATAATTGAAGCTGAGGCTGAAACTACAGTGCCAATTAAGTCCAATTAATCAAATTTACTAGGGTGTGAGATGGATAAAATTATAGTTAATCAAAGTCCATTCACGATTATTTTATAAGCATGAATAACATTTTGGTTAATATGCACATTATTTTACTGAGTTGTATAATAGATTAACAAACACAAGTAGACTTCTCATCCCATTGTAAATTTTGAAGCACGTTTTTTGTGTCTAGTTCATGTACGGTGACACTGGGCGCTAGTGTCGACGAAATTTTGTTTCTATTATTTTAGGGTTAATTTCTTGATTTGTGCTTTACTGTTTGGTTACATAACTAGGGGACAGTTTTTGTTTATGAATAGATTGTATTATTTGGTTAAACGAGGTTTTAAATTACTGTAATAACTAGAAACAAATTGTAAACAAAATGAGAAATGAAATTATGAGAAATCTACTAAGGGAGTATGTTTTATCTATGGTTGTATGCAATAATTTTGAATCGAATAAGTATTTTATAATTGGGAGGCTTAACCATGAAAACTGTTAATCGATCAATAATTAATTATTGCTGTAAAAATATGATTATATAAAAAAAATCCCAAAAATAGATTAAATATACTAAACATTTCTACCCACTTTTTAATCCATACTGGGTAGAAAAATAGTTCCACCGGATCTTAAAAATTATGAAATAATAAAAAAAAGCAAGACAACTGGAAACTAAGCTATTGGTCATAAAAACCTATTCAACAAAATACTCAGCAACACCAGCTCCTCCGGGGGCTAGGAGTAAAAAAAATCTAAAATCTAAACATGGGTTTGATATGCACCTCAAATTAAAGGTCTTAATTAGTGAAATGCAAAGTAGAATACTATGCCACAAATTTGAGCTAGAAAGAACAACTGAGTCGACAATGGCAGCCATTCAAAGATTCAAAACTGCAAATACATCTTTATTCAATGGCTGACTTTTTTGACTCGGTTGTCCGTTTGAGTTCATATCTGTAGCATTGTATTTCACCAATTAAAGCCTTTAAAATTATGTGCATATCAACCCATGCTTACATCTAAGATTTTCTTCTGACTACCGGGCTGTCCCCCTGAGGAGGTAGTTTATCGCTGAGTAATTTAGGTAGATTTCTATGACCAGTAACGTATTTATAGCTTTTTTGCATTATCTTTATTAAATTTAAAATATTAATCAGTACCGGGACTTTTTTTCTTGCTGTATATACTATATACATACCTAAATATACCCCCATGAAAAAATCTGCAGCTGCAAGATTGCAGACTAAGAATCGAGGAACATCAATTTTACTGCGTGAGAAGATGAGGACGAAGACCACAGTCCCGTTTCCCAGCATCGCAAGGAGAAAGACAACCCACACTCCACATCTGAGGGTCCACCAGTCAAACAGATCCACACAAGGTAGAAATGGACCTGGAGAGAACAAATGTTTTAGTTTTTTTCTGCTTACGTGCCTTATGATTTGTTACTGTAAGTGCTTACCTTCACATTCATCACCTTCAACATTTTCAAAGATGATAAAACAAATCAACAGAGCAAATCTTTTAGGTAAAAGAAAAGTGGATAGATGATAGTGCTTATTGTGATAGTTGACAATATTGTCTAGTGGGCTTACAACCATAGTCATAAGTGACTGTCTGTTGTGTCAACTTAGTGTCCTAATTGCTAAAGAAGATATATGTGGCAAACGATTCAATAATGTGATATCAAAATAATTCAGAACCACTATTGTATATGTGGTAAATTGAAACATTAAAGTACCTGGGGCAGGCAGACATTGTATCCGTCCTGGAGGCAGATCGTTTTGGTTTTTCTCTTGGTCTTCAAAATACTCCTCCACATATGCTGGCAAGTTTCCTGGGTAAGTAAAATCTGAGCCAAAATTGTCCCACAACTCGTTTATTTGTGTTCCAAACTTCTTGCTCAGGTTTTCTGAAAAAAAATGAAAAATGTAGTAGCTAAACTATGAGCATTTTGTGAGTAGAACTCTTCCTATAAATCACATTAACCCCCCCCCCCCTCACTCACACACACACATCACATTAAAGTAAGTGGATCTTTACTTAATCTAAATTTTGATATAGCTTCTTCAAAGAAAGATGCGGCATCGTAAACAAGACGTAACACACCTGTACTAGTGGAGATAGTTTAAACTTTAACCAGTGATTGACCAAGAGTTAATTTTTCTTTTGACCTTTTTTTATTACCTAGACTGCAGCAATAGAGATTGGTTGTAACTCAAGAGATTATATTTATATACTGTGGACTTACTGGTAATATCTTGTGAATATGTTTACATAAATAGTTGGTTGGGTACTGAATCAGTGAACCTTTGTGAGGTCAGTTCCGTACACAGAGCACAAGTTTACAACTATTAGCGGAAGTTTTTATGAGGTTAAAATGTATCTTAACTACCAGCTAATGTTGTAAAACCACAGAATAAAGACCAAGAACTAAAGAGTGGTTATAAAGAGTAGGTTATAACCAAGAACTCCCACTGAGCAAGAAAAAAAACAACAAAAAACCTAAATCAAAACAAGTCATTTTAATCCGATAGTGCTAGCACCCAAATCTAAGAGCAGTGCTGTCACTGGATGGCAGGCTAGGCCAGGCGTGGGCTGGAAGGAGAGAGAACTGACGTTCCTCCATCGTTGCTATCTGCTGAACACCTATACAAGTCCATTGTCTAATAATTACAAAAAACAGTTACAGCAGCGCTCCTAGATTTTAGCTGATTAAAACGTTAAATCATATTTTGGCTCAGTGATGGTTCTGGGTTAGGTCTCCCTTCTTTGGTAAAAATGTGTTAGCCGTTTAATGAACTCGTTAGACAAAATTCTTACGAAGTTGAGGCCAGATGTCAGTGAGACTGGAATTCCACAAACTCATGTCAAACTCGTTGTCTGTGGGGAAGAGCACAGACTCGCGCAGCGGGGGCCGCGGTGGGGGCTCTGCTGGAACAAGAGGCAGGAACACGCAGCAGTGGTAGGCGTAACTCAACACCAGTGTCTGTACTCGGGGAAAACTCTCCGGGGGTGGGAACTCTCTCAGACGCGGGTTGTTGAACGTCTTGAGATGCAGCAGCCGGTCGAGCCCCGCCGTCGGTAGAATAGGGAACATGTTGTTGCCTAGGTTCCTGGAATGGTTTCAATCTCTTTATATTAAAAAGAATAGAAAAATAACTATAGAAAAAAATAGCTTAGCAGAGGAGTCATTCCTGATGTGTAATGTGCACAGTGAAAATACACAATTCAGCAGTAATATCCAATAATACTAGAAAAAGAAAATTTTCTTATAATTATAACTGATGACAGATGTTATCCTAAAAAGAGGGCAAAAAATAATGACTTTTTATTACATACTAGTGTACATGTTGCTCGAATTCGAGCAATTGTAAAATATTACAGGATTTGTAAACCAATAACAATCATATTAAGCTATCAACATTTTAACAAAATCACACCTACCTTCCCTGTAGCAGCAAACCTAAGTAATCATATTAAAATTAACTCTTAAGCTTTAAATAGGAAAAACATGATCATTTTCAGGGAATATATTTGTAGAAATTAAGCCAGGTAAATGGGAATTCGCTTAGTCTGAAGGTTTGCTGCGGATACACAATTTTAATAACAGCAATGATTGAAGAATCCAAATTATTACTTATATCCATGAATTTATCTAACAATTATTTCCTGTAAAATATTATTACAGCAGCTCAAAAATATTGGAACAGACTCAGTCATCAAATTACCGAATGGTATAATTACCATATGAAAGAATCCCATACTAATTATATTAACATATAGTTCCATTTAATCAATTTTAAATGGGCGAGTGACACATTTTATTTATGTTTATGATCCATACCGTTCCTGTTCTAATAATCATGCAGTATTTAATATGTTTGGACCAGCTGTGTGGAATTGTGAAATCAAAATTAATTTGACAGTTAGTTCTGTTTGTTTACATTTTTAAATTTTGTAGGTTTGTTCTTTGTTACCATGGATACCATCAATAAATATTTCACTTTTAATTTCTGACAACAGCTGGAGTTCCATAACAAATTTTGTATCCCATGTTAATCTTATGGAGAAATACGAAACTTTAAAGGGCCCCAGGGCCTCACTCTCTAATTATTTCCCTAAAATGAAAGTTTCCTGCACAACTTCACATTATGCTCTTTCCAATGACACCAAAAACATGTCGATCGGTTCAGTAGTTTCAGAGGAGTAATTGTCACAAAAATCCTGCTTGCGTATTAAATAAGTATATAGATTGCACCATCCGTACCCAAGCCATTAAATAATTGAATTGTAAACTCTTAGGCTGGACATAGCAACATTGACTTGGTTTTTAATAGTCAAAGCTTGGATACTGAAGTTTACATCCCATCTATATGGACCAGCTGCCGCCAATATTTTATTAAAAATTACCTATAGTCGGGACCACGTAAGTTTGCAGTTGGTGGCAGCCAATCACAAGACAAGGCTAGTGCGACGTTGCCACATCGTCCGTTGACCACACTAATTAAAATACTAAACAATATTTTCAATCAGCTGGTATTATTAGATTTGGCAACACCGCACTGTTCTCATTGGTTCATTCAAAACCATATGGTAAATAGGCTCCCTCCCTCAACTGCAAACTTACGTGGTCCCGACTTTTTGTGGAACCCAGTCACAGAATGTGATAGTAAATGTATTTGTTTACTTTATATGTTGGTGACCAAGTTGATCAGTCATAACAGTTGCTGTAGCTCATAATAAGTTTGATTAACATTAGTTTGACTTGGTAAAAAAGGTTTGTGTATTCGACAGAAATTAAAATCTGGATCAGCATAATCTATCCAGTGAGGTTGGCTCACATCTATTGACAACGATTTTGATTTTAAAAATGGCGCTGAACTTTAACATAGGATGAAATGTCTAGTTGTTAATAGTCAAAGATGGTAGCCTACATCCAACATTTGTAATATGGCATTTGATGTTTTATGTACTTACAAATCCTCTAGATGGGTAAATGCCAAAAAGGCTTCAGGGTGGATGTCTTGTATGAGGTTATTCTCCAGATCTCTGAAAAATAACAATGATTAGAAAATTTACACTATTTAAATGCAATAGCTGAAAAGTATTACCAAGGTGTTTGTGCTAAAATGCCCAATAAATGTGTAGTAGGACCCTTCTTTTCAGACTATAAAATAGATGATACTGTCTGGGTAGCTGAGTAATTTAGTGCTCGCCTTCAAATATGAAGGTCGCTTGTTTGATTCCAAGCGAGGTTCTTACTGGACCCAGATGCCATTTGTCATTGGGCAATCAATTGACAATGCTATATAATAAAAGGTTGACATTAGAGTAGATAACAAGATCAGGGTTTGGATCGTTCTCTATCAAAACGTTTATAAATACGGGTGTTGTTGATAGACTCAAAAAGTAAAAAAGACAAAACAAAAAATCTTTTAATTTAGAAATCACAAGCATTTTCCTCCTAAAAGTCACTTTTATTTTGTAAAACACTTAAGTGGTCTTTTAGAAACATTGCACATGTCAATCTTTTCTTAAAGGACATACAATTAACTATAGTTCGGCCGCTTAGAAAACGACCTGCGCGCTAATACTAAACCAATGCTGGAGGAGGTCGCTTTCTAAGCGGCCGAACTAGTTGGACTGAATGAATACCAGATATTTTATTGAATAAAATGACCAGATTATTTTAACTGTTTATGGCTCTGAACTCTTAATTTATTATTTTTTTTATTTCATGTGATGTGGAAACACCCCTGAACTGTTTGGGAACTAATAATGATTTAACTCCAGTAATCCATTTCAAATTAGTCGTTTTTTTGCGACCTAGGTTTCAGCACATTAACAATTAGACTCCAGGCTCCAGTTCAAAACGTTCAGTCCATTTGACTTTGTTCTGTCAAAGCTGCACATCGCTCACACAACACAAACATGGGTATGAATAAATGAAAATTTACCGATTGGTATTTAAAAAACAAAGACGAATACATGTGAGTTTACCGGCCACAACGGGAGACATCCAAGCAACTACTCCAATCACAACTATATTGTTTTGTAAATATCGATCGGTAAATGAATATTAATTCGTATTCGTGTTTCTATCGTGTGAACTATGGTAGCTTTAACGGAAAGACGTCCAATGGACTTAACATATTAAACTGGAGCCTAATTATTGCACAGCAAAGTGATGAAACCTACGTCGCAGAAAAACAGCTTAATTTGAACTGGATGACTGAAGGTATTCAAACCATTAGGTCTGCACTTTTTAACCGCGATAGTTGTTTAATCTAGTAATATCAGATTTCATTATACTTACAAGACTTGAAGCTTCTCCAGGCCATAGAAGGCATCCTGTGGGATGGCAGTGATGAGGTTGTGGCTGAGCAGGAGATCATGTAGGCGGGAGAGACCCTGGAACAGTCGACCCTCCAAAGACGAGATCTTGTTACCCTTGAGATCCCTGTGAAAAAAGTGGTAAGTCCAAAACCTGTTGTTATAGTAATCACAAAGGATAGGAAGGAAGCTATTTATACTCTCTAATTTCCAGATTTTAAAAGTACTGTATGAATGAAGGATGAGTGTAGAATGGAGTAAGATGCTTTGTTACTTAGATCAGCTGTTTCATTAGCCATCAGGACCATTTATATAAAATTCCAATAAACAGGACAGCTGAGTTCAGTTTTGATCCATCAAAAAGCCTCAGATTCTCCTCCAGATGGAACCTCCAGCCTTGGTATTACTAGTTGAGCACTAAAACCACTGAGCTACCCAGCTAAATGTAGTGGTTCCTCGAAGGTCCTGAGCAGGAGATAATGTTGTTTCAAGGTAATATTGCATGATACATATTACATACCTAATAAGGTTAAAACCTTAACAAAACCGGTATAGAGGCATAGGTCTAAAATCAACAATCATCCATGTGATCATGTCTTTTTCATTTGCAACGGCACAATTTAATGGCTGGAAGTTAAAGAATATGCACAAAGACTTGATCTAATCCATACAAATCAAACAGATTTACAATTAGTTGCAAAATTTCCAAAATAGTAGTACACCATGAGTAAAATATTTACTTACAGAACTCTCAAATCCTTACAAGCCGTGATATCAGGTACTGAGGTCAGCTGATTTGATTTTATGTCTCTGGAACAAACACAAACTCCGTAGTTAAAACAAGTATTTTTACTGTAAAAATACTTATACCGTAAGCTAGCATGAACCATAGACAAAAAGAATTAAATATAGACTGTCAGCCGTGCTGCGGTTACCATAGGTTCTGGCACATACCGCTGGGAGCGCCATTTAGTTACAATGGCGCTACGTAAACTACACGGCGCTCCCAGCGGTGTGCGCTAGAACCTATGGTATCCACAGCACGGCTGACAGTCTATATTTAATTCTTTTGGTCTATGCATGTACTGAATAATGCTGTTACCGTAAAGAAATCCTATAAATAGTTTTCTTATTTCAAAATTTAAACAAGATTTACAAACCTGTGAATGACAACTTGACTTAGTAACATTTTTACGGCACAGTTTCTAAATTACTCAAAACTAACTGAAATAAAATTAAGCAATATGTTTGTTTTTCACATACTATACATCATGAACAAAATATAAACTTACATAAACAATTATAAAATATGAAATTATAAAAAATGAAATATGAATTAAATAATTTTAATGTTTAATAAAAATGGTATGTTTTTATTATTATTATTATTCATAAAATATGTTGAGAGTTTGTGGCATTCAACAAAAAGTCACATTTTTAATATATCTGACACTAATTTCATTTTCTAAAGTAGACAGATTTTAACTCTTAAGAACGTTTGTTGACTCACAGACTCTTCAGTCGAGGGCAGGTATGGCACAAGGTGGGGGGTACAGTGTGTAGACTGGCGCGGTCCAGACGCAACACCTCCAGTGCGGACGTCCCGTTCAAACTGGGGAACTTGCTCAGCTCCTTGGCGTCCGACAGGATACTGAAATTGAAAAGTTTTAAAGACATGTAAAATAATTAATCTTTCCCAGAAGTCTTAAGACCCACTGTTGAAACTCAAAGATTACAACAGAAACCTTTCCATAGAGAATTGTGCCTTAAGAATAGGCCTGGGTTTGTTGAGTTAAATTTGTGTTTGATTAGAAAACTGTTGTCCAATAAGCATAGAGCTATTTCTTGACCATTTGATTTGTTTAAGGGTCAACAAAAAAAACAACCCGTAAAAAACCTGAAATCTATATAGGTATTTAATACGCTAGGCATATTATTGTCATAATTGTTTTGGAGCGGTGGTGCTACCGATCACCATGTCCAAGGTATCGTTAGAAAGGTCTTAGCATGTAGTTTTGCCATCAAACAAAAAAACTTTGGAATTCCATCAGGGCTCTGCCCCAGTGGCCTTCAAAGTTCCCATGTTATTCTTAGGGAGAAAATGTTTATTTACATTTGAACAGATGAATACTTTGAAATTGACACTAATATTTCAAACGGTTGGTTACACTAAAATTGGAGACATGTGCTATAAGGATTTATTAGATATAACCAGTTTTTATTTGCACAAAATCAAAACATAACCAAAAAAACGTTTGACATAATGGAAACTATTAGACCTCGGACGGCTAATAAGAGGAGGCCGACGAACTTTAACTGGTAGACGCAAACGAAATACAAATAATGCTATTGTCGTTGATAACCGAATACAGCAAGCACCCTTCCGTGTTGGGTTTAAGTGTGCTCTCCAACAGCCGCCTGAAGATTTCACATTCAATTTAGGACTGATTTCAATTTATTGGACACTGTGCTGCATTTCTTGATAAATCATTAACCCTCCGAGTGTCATGCGTCGCTGCAGCGACGCGTAACGCACTTTGTATAGTGTCGTGCGTCGCTACAGCGACTCGCGAACACTGTTTATGGCGAAGGCTCTATGACTAACTGAATCGGACTGTACTGGATTGAGTTAGGTATCGTTCTTTCCGTAATATTCTAAGCTTTCTCCAGAGGTCTGTCTCTAAGCACTATTCATTTTAGTTCCGAAAATATTGTAGCAGACAGCTGACTGAGCTGACGTGCGTGTATTTGTAAACAGCTAGGTTACCCTCGGACCGATGACTGATGTGTTTTATTACATTTATCATTGTTTTAGTGTTAAAAATCAAAAGTAGTGATATACGTGGTGCATTATAAGAAGATTTAAGTGGTTTTGAAGTGCTGGTTGATGATCCTGAAGAAGTAGGTAGTGATATTGATGTAAATTATCAGCCAGATTCCTAGCTATGGTTGGGCTATGCATTCTTAGCTAAACGCTATGTACTGAAATCTGTTTTTTGCCCATAACTTATTTATTTGCAAATCTACTTCCTTATATTATTATATATTTGTAATCCTCATAAAATTTTGAACAAAGTGGCTATTTTCAAATATTTATAGGCCTATAATTTATACAATTTCATTGAGCGCAAACTTTTTTTTTTTTTTTTTTTTCGAAATTATACATTTTTTTTACCTAAAAAATTTTTTAAAAAAAATCTTCCTTATGTTTTATATATAATATTGAAGCCTAAGATTTTCCAAACAAAATGGTATATAGAACAGTATAATTAACATTGTTTTTAAGCTTCTCAGATCAGTTTTAATAAAATCTTGCAAATGAGCAAAAAATAGGCTGACATTAAGGCCAAAACACGTGACACTCGGAGGGTTAAAAGAGCCGATTTGCAAACTATGGAAACATAGGAAATGTGTTTTTTTAGAGTTTATAATCGTTATTATGGACAACCTAATGTGGCTATGAGTGGGAAATATTTGTAGAAAACGTTAACAAAACAAGATCAGCTTTTGAAAAATGAAACATATTTACAAGAAATTTTGATTATATAGAACTGTTAAGTACATCGTGAGTGTTTCCATAATCTTTGAGTCTTTATGACTGTTATTCGTTTTAAAATAACGCCTGTAATATTTCGCAATTGCTCAAATTCGAGCAACAGGTACACTAGTTATTAAATCATTTAATCATCAAATCTCCTGAGAAGTTATTTTTTTAGAATTAGAAAACTACAAAAAACGTGTTTACCCTACTATATTAAGTATGGCTCCTAAGGCACAAAAGTTGCAACAGTTTGTTAGTGTCCTGTGTACTGGAAAAAGATAATATCTTTTATTTAAGTTAGTGACTTACGGGTGCAATCACATAGGATGTGGCTATGTCAAAAACAATTACAGTATGTACTTTGTAATGCAAAGGAACACACAGAGAGCGGTATGGGGCGGTGATAATTGTATGGGAATGGGAGGGAAGGTAACACATTCTATGTGTTTGTACCATAAACTCCCAATTGTTTGTTTTAACTATTGAACAGCTGCTTAGCTGATAAAAACGGAATAATTTTTAAGGTGAGATCCCACTGAAAATGTTCAAAAATTTCGGATTTTTATTTTTTGTACCTATTTTTTATTAAAATCTTCCTATATAAGAAAAACACAACGATTTGATGTAAATTTACATATTTCATAGAGTAAAAAATATTTAAAGTTGAATGTGCACTCGAATTTTTGGTGAAATAAACATCACTTCGGTGTTTTTCTTGTATAATCACGGATTGTACATATGCCTGAAAAAGATTTTTATGTAAGTATATTGACCAAAAATGTTCTTAAAAGTAACACTAGCAGTACTTGTAAACAATAAAAACTTAAATAGTGAACTAGGAGCTCTTATTTTGGCTAAAATTTAACAAAAACCATTGATTTTAGAAAACGCGTGATTCCCGAAAGTAGAGAAAACCGTGAGTTGGTTTACTAAAAATGCTAAGGCTCAAAAGGTATTAGAGATACAGCAGTGAAACTTTGTATGCTTACTCTTTACATATACAGGGACAAAGTTATGTATGGGCTTTCAATTATCTAAAGAAACTTTTATTATTTTAATTTTTTTGTAATATTGCGAACATTTTATTGTTATTTTCTTAATTTGAAAACTTGTAGAAATAATATCTGAAGAGATAATTTTAAACTAATACATAACTTTGTTTGCAGTAATATACTCTATCAAATGACACTTCAATCATCTATCTACTACTTATAGTTAAAAAGCCTTAGCGGTTCTTGTGAAAGGCTGCAAATTCGGTTTAAATGGGGGGGAGGGGGGTGGTTTACAAGTGGTCAAAAAATAGTTATTTTGTTTCAAGTAGAGTAATTTTACATAATAAAATTAAAATATCTCAAAATAATACACAGTTAAGAATTTAGAATTTTCAGTGGGACCTCCCCTTAACTGAAATTAAAACATTGCTTTTACTATTCTGAGTGAAAGGGAACACATGTTTACTCGAGTGTAGTTGCAGAGACATCCTTCTTTTCCTCAACTTTTGTCATCCAATTGACGTAAAAACGCTTTATGTGCTTGTGTAAACTAAAAAATGTATATCTATGATACTCACAGTTTCCTGAGCTTTGGCAGGAAGGAGAATGCGTGAGGGTCGACCCCAACGAGTGGGTTGCCCTTGAGCTCCAGTAGGGCGAGGCCCCGGGAGTGTTGTAGGACTCCTGCAGGGATGTACTTGATGCGGTTCCCAGAGACGGACCTGTTAAGGTGTCACTTTGTCAGTAATACTGAATGGTTCCTTACCTTTAGAGTGATTCAACAAACGTACTGCTAAGGCTAAGTATTAGAAAGTAGATGTCCTTAATTTCTATGTTTGTGTCTTTTTAGTAGCCAAAGGTAAACACTTAAGAGAGAAGAGAAACCTTAACAGATTTTTGTGACACCTATTTTATCCCATATAAAATCTTCATAACGCCATAGACAAATAGAATAAATGTAGACCCACAGTAGTGCTGCGGTTAGCATATTTTTCGGCACCCACCGCTAGGAGAACCGTGTAGTTACGGCGCATACCGCTGCAGCGTCTGCTGATAGCATACGACCATAGACAAATAGAATGAATATAGACCGGCAGCAGTGCTGCGGATAGCATATGTTCCGGCGCTTACCGCTAGGAGTGCCGTGTAGTTACGGCGCACACCGCTGCAGTGTCTGCTGGTACCATACGGCTCCTGCGCACCTTGCCTGCACATGGCACTCCTAGCGGTGGGCACCAGAAGCTTCCCTTGACAGTCTATATTTATTCTATTTGTCTATGATATAGTGTCTTAACTAGACTGCACTCCTAGCAGCACATCGGGAATCCTTCCTTTGACAGTTTATATTTATTTTATTTGTCTATTATAACGCTCATACTATCTCACAGAGGGTAAGTATCCTATATTGTTGAACATTGCTTTTTCACATTAATTTATTACATTATTGCTAAAAGGTTTCTAATCTAAGGTAGCAGGTGTTTCTTCTTACTTACGCAATCTCTTGACCATGTGACTCACAAAAGAAAATCCCCCACAAATACATTTTAGAGGATACAATAATAAAACATTGTGAAATTGCTCTTAAATGGCTGTTACAAATAGTTCTTACAATTAGACAAAAATGCCATTCTGTCACTTTGGTAGAGAAGTTTCAGTAATAAGAAATCTAATAATGTAAGATTCCTATAAGTTATAATGTAAACCTTTTCATAAAAGACATAAAATGTGTAATACTGTGTAAATTATATCACTGTTTCACAGAAATCTATTAACACTAATGTTAAAACAACATTCAACTGTTTTTTCACCTACATGGTGTTACAAAGTTTCACTTAAATTAAAATCCATACCATTACTATGCATGATCACACTACTACTATGAAATATCTGTAGGGCATCTATAGTAAATAGAACAAACATTAATCAGGATATCTTAGTCTTTGCGTAATACAGACAGCCTTTTGATATAAGTTTGTACAAATTTCATGAAAGTGCTGCTTAGTTTTTGTACAGCTTTTACATTGCATCAGTACTCTTTACTTTGTTTTAAAGGAATTCAGTGTAAAATTATCAGTACCATGTACTCTAATGGCTCTGAAATAACAAGAGGCAATACAATTTACCAATAAAATCCTTACTTAAGACCTTATCCTTACCCTTATCCTTATCCTTACTTAAACTTAGATCCTTAACTAGTACACAGTAAATGGTTTACTGCACTCCATGTGGCAGCATGAAGTATAGGAAAAATGGGAATCGAATTCATAATTAGGACACACATTTTAAATCTTAAGTTTCTTTTTACCAAACAAAGGATGACTTCTTAAGGAGGTGAAATGATTTGATAGACTACAGTGATTATCATAATCGGAAGTGAAGTTGGCGCAAGACCAAGTTTGGTGTGATGACTGTGCGGAAGTTGAGGGAAACGTAGTTGATAGTCGCTGTGATTTGCCAATAAACTTACCATATCAATGGCACGGTGTGAGGGATGAGAGATATATGTCTAGTGCAGAAGAGGTGAACGCCCTGCATGGTTCAGTAGTGTAACAACGCTACAATAACCGTTAGTCATACCATCCAGACTGCAACGAATTATTTGTAATATCGGTCCGCTTCATCCTCAACTTTTCACTTCGACCAGTCGTAAAAATTTATAGAAAAGTTGCTCCATTACTTTTGCTTGTCAGAGAAATGTTTTGCTGACTTTCTCGAAATTACTTTGGCGAACATACACTTATTTTACTCATAATACAGTGTTATTGAAAGAGTTTCGTAATAGATTGTAGTTAAGTATGTGATTTGACGAGTATAACTTTTTACATAGTACCTATGTAGTTTATATTTTACCAGTTACAAATAAAGTTTTATTGGAATTTGCCATTAAATAAGGAATAATTGGTTTTAAACAAGTAATTTCATTACTTCTTAGAGAATTTAAGACAATATTATTTTAGTTACGGTACTAATAAAATTTTCAAAATAAATATTTAAAAAAATCCAATAAAAGCCCCACAGGAAAATTTCTCCGTTATTTTAAAATCAGGGCCAGGTAAAAATATATCGCATTAGGGTACGCATATATAAAATACCTACAGCACGTTTAATATTCTCCACAATGTTTCAAATAAAAAACATGTGAATATTCACTATTTCAGCAGAACCAACACATTTGTTTTCTTTGTCACATTTCAAGACCCTAAATATTTATCCTGCTAATTACCTTACATAAGAGAACTTTTGCCTCTCATATGAAACAAGATAGATATTAATTTTAATTTAATTGGTGAACAAACAAGAAACTGAAAATTATTAATGTTATACTTTAAGGTTACGAAATGTATCTCAACTCAAGTGCACAAATAAAAACTTGAAAAATATACATAGACATAAATAGGCTACCTGTACAGCATGTATAAGGACATTTTGAAGGACTGTAATAGTAGGACTAAATTACAGCTAACTTGGAAATAAAAGAAAAATAATTTAAAAGGGTTATGAACTGACAATTATATCTTGTCTTTTTACAATGCATATTTATTTTTTTACATACGAGTATATATTGTATTACCAAAGAATTATTCATTGGTATTACTCTAAAATATTGGTAATCCAGAGTTAGAACTAGAATATTGGTGATAAAACTTGTTTTTATGATAAATTAATTCACAGGAAGTACAGTACTGTGTATATTCTCTAATTTATCTAACATTTGTTAAAAATATATTTTTACAATAGGATAAATATACACCTAAAAATAAAGTTATTAGCCTATAAAAAATATACCCTACATTAAATATAATGTATGTAAATCCAAGACACTAAATTTAGCTGAAAAAAAAACACAGTAACTAACGATACAATGTACGAATGTGTTTTGTATTTCAAACATCGTGCCAAGTTTGACTGACGTTTATTTACGGTCCCTAATGGATTCTGAACGTTTTGTTGAAAAATACATTGCCAGATCGGCATGTGATCACAAGCATTTTGGATGTACAAATCAGACCATGGATTTTTCAAGGAGGGTGAAAATAGAATGATGAAGCTTTGAAAACTGATGGGCAACGATACAAATTTTTTCATTAAATTGTTACGCCTTCTGAAGAAGGACCGATTCGATGACAAGTTTTTGATTTATGAAAGTTTTTTTCCCTATGAAACTCACTTATTTAATGTTTACTTGAAATACGAGAAAAGCATTATATTTTTTCAGTACCAAGAGGAGGCTATTGCTCATCTTATTAACACCCCTATCTTGTAACTTACTGGTAATATTTGTCCCACTTGCTATACATAACAGCTTAACAAAGAGATATATCTTTGTTCTGTGGGTTACATCCTATAGTTCACCATCACCTACGAAATTACTCCTTAAAAGGGCAAAACAAAAGTTTTTGGTGGTCTTTAAGATTTAAGAATTAAAAGATTTTGTTAATAATATATAAAAATTAGGAAAAATCTGGCACATAAACGAGACTTAGACTACTGATCAATTTAATAACTCTCCTAAATCACAATGTAACAATTGCCCAACAAATAACACCCAAAAATTAGTTCCTTTGTATTAAACAATTACGTGAATCTATTATTCTTTGTTGAGGTTGGCATATCAATATTGTGTAAAATATTATATATCCTTAAATATATAACAATTAATTAATTTCAAAAATATTCTTGCGAATTTAGATCTCAAGAACAATGGTCACTAAAATTATTACAAAAATTTGATAGGATTTTAATTTAACAATTGTTTGGATAAGAAATATATAATATGGACTCACAGTTCTTGCAACGCAGTGAGCTTGGTGAGAGCAGCTGGTACAATGGTCAGGTGATTGTCATCCAACTCTCTGTCAAACATAAAGCAGTTGTTAGCATTAAACTTGGCTATATTCAAGTACTGTAATTTTTCTATTGTCATAAAATAACAGTATAAACCTAGGCCTTGTCACTATCCAACGTTGACCTTTGGATAGCAAAAGTTGATGGACAGCCCAATGGTACATCAATACATAGCATCTGGGTACTCAACCAACCTTTAGAATCGAAAACGAACTCTGTAACTGCTCGGTTTACCCATACAACTGTGAACGCCTTGTCAAGAAACAATTCAAATTGTGTGCTAGGGGTTTATTTAAATCCTTTAAATAGATGGTAATCAAAAAAATATGCATTTCGAAAGCACATTCAACATTTAGATATAAAGGAATGATTCATAAGAACATAGGTCTGAAAATGCTAATTTAGTATATTTGACCTTTAATTCCTAATTGGAAATGGAGATAAAAAATGAATGAAGATTAATTGCATTCAAAATAAAGGAAATCAAATATAGTGCATATATATTACATTCATTTTTTTTTTTAGATGAGAACGTGCATACAGTATTTTAATCAAAATATGAGTGACAGATGAATGTAGAATGGAGTTTTATGTCTTGTGGGGCTTTGTTACTGACCGAGACCAGCTGTTTCATTTCAACTTTTGTAAAATCAACGGTTTTTGAGTTATTTGAGACATAAAATTTGAAATAGCCGCCATTTTGTTTTATGAATTAAAAAAAATCACAATTGTTTTGCAGTTTTGCCTAGTTGTCATATATGTTTGTGCAAGGTTTCAATTTTGTGTCTTCAACTACTTTTTAGTAAAACATTTACAAGTGAAAAGAAATGGCGGTTGTGTATAAGTAACTAAGCAATTCCTAAAAAATTTTATATGATATTTATATAATATGTTTCTTACACAGGTACAATGCCCTAAAATATTGTTAGAGAGAGTTCCGGGACACTTAATGAGCTGTTTCATACTTTTGCCTGGTCCATTTTAGGTAATGTGTAGAGCGACTACTTTGCCTGTAACATTTCCTACATTTATTTATTGTGTTCTTTTAATGTGCCAAAAAAATAGTCCGTTGAATGTTGTATGTGTATCGATAGAGTTTAAAGGTTAAACACCTGACACTGAACACATGGCTGAGTAATTACTTCCCAGTTGTTCTGTTTTTACGGTCAAACATTCACTTTAAGATCATTTGCTTGGTTATGAAATTTGTGGTAAAATACTTACAATACACGTAAAGATGTCAAGTTTGAAAATGCGTCATCATCGATCTCAAAAATCCTGTTCTTTTTTATCAACCTGAAACAAATATGTTTTTAGTTTATTTGTATTAAATGAAAGCCTATCAGTATTTTCTTTATGTTTTACCAGGTCTACCTGATTGCCGAGAAACTGTCCTACCTCAGGAAGGTTTTCATACAATTCCTGACCCTCAGGGTAACCTTATTGAACTCGCTAGGCAACTAGGATTATTTAACTGGATCCTTGAACAGTGAGAATAGCAATGATGGATGTAAACATTCTATGGTTTGCAACTTTTCTCTTCTTTACACTGTCACTCAGGCATTATGCCGCAAATAAGATTTTTGTAGAGCTATGTTCTACATTTATATAATGTAAAATTTAGCTTCTAAATTATTAGTAGTTTTTTTTAAGCTGATTTATAGAACCATAGACTAACCATCACATGGAGTATGTTTTATCTATGATAGAACTTATGTTTACAATTGTAGGCAGACAACTCGTTACAAAACAAAACCGTTATAATGAAGAGTTCATTATATTCTACAACTCTGTTTATTATGCCCATCAACGGAACTTATTTTGAAATAAGAGAGCGGAAGTTTAATTAATATTGCATTTAACAAAAATCACAGAAAGCGTTAAAAGCCTCGCGGGCGTTTATCTCCCAGATTTAATAAGTCAAATCCAAGCGGTCTGCAGCTGAAGGGTTAATATAGAGTCGGCGGCGGTCGTGTTTAGTTGTTATAATTGATAGCCTCTCTGCAAAAACCCCTAGATTTATGTTTTCGACCCCCTCCTGCCCCCCCCCCCTCGTCCCCTGGCGCTAATTCTATTTCTCAGCATTAATACGCATTACTCTCGGCCCAGTGGGTGGCTGGTCCGCTCTGTTACTTGCAGGAAATGGGTTTTAAGGTGAATTTACTGTAGTCTAACCGTAAAATATTACAATTACGCTCGAGTTATGAACGCGTTTTCGTGAGTTTTAACAGCTCACTCGACAAGCCACCTTTCTGTTTCCTTGTGTTTGATGTGCATTATTGACGGTGCTAAGGTGAAATATACTAACCTAAAATTGCCGCAACATTTGCTGTTAATAGAATTCCTGCATATAGTAAATTTGCCCTAGATTGTTTTACAACAAAACCACAATACACTCGAATTAAATGGATAAATTGACTGCTTATTTTTATGGTTACCATTATTGGTGGGTTTAAAGGTTAGCGGAAAATGTCTTTTAAATTTTATAAGTTTTCTTTTTTGTCTGTGTTTTTGATTCAATGTCGTCTAGCAAGAATGTTGTTGACTAGGATTAGGATGCTATCCCCAGACAACTTAAATTCTCTTGGTTTTGGTAGGCGTATCTCACAAATGTATGTATTTAACAGACCAAATTGAAAACATACCGTACACCTAACTTTTAAACCTTTTTTTGAAATCTTTAAGATCACACAAGACAAATTTGATATCGCAACGATCAATCGTTATATATTGATATTGCAACTGATGCTATCGTAGCTTGCCTTCTAGTTTTACGTAAGGAAATACATTTTCTCACAATATTAATTCCCCTTTTGAAATAACACCTCCCCTCCAAATACTTAATGAAATAACGAATAGTTGGTTTAATTCTGGGTATCACTTTCTTCCAGGCGAACCTATAAACTAACGTTAAAACCAACCCAATTCAATGAACTTCAATAAATAGCATAAAAAATAACAGCGTTTTACATAATCCAGATCGTGAACCAGACCAACACACAGGCCTCACATGTAGGCCAACTTAGAATCCCTTCTAGTAGTAGCAAAGAACTGTATGAGTAAAGTAGATATTAATCAAACATATTCTGTATAGCCAGAGAATTAGTTAAGTGAGAAATATAAAACCAGTGGTAGCGTGAGTTTACCAAAGGTTTAGAAGTTCGTAGAACCTAATTCAGCGAAGATGAGGTTGCGAACACAGAGCTCGGTAGCGATACAAAGCTATCAGCTGATAGTCACTAACGATATAACGACAACGAGGCTGGTTAGCCAACAATTAACTCGTTTGGCTCGTTAGTGTCGTTCAATTAAGCGGTTCGCCGAGATTGCATCTGGTTAACAGATTTGAGGTAACCAGATTACTGCTCCTCCGGGCGAGGACCTTAACAGGATCAGCTCGAACTAAGAAAATATTGTTTTTGCTCCACCAACTATTTCCTTTTGTTTTTGTTCTAGGATTAGTAATGTTTCTAATATAGTCAATGAATGAAAATTTGCTGCTATGGTCTGACAATATTATAAACATTCAACTTAAATTTTTGGAAAAAATAGCAATGAAAAACGTTGAATTTAACACGCCTTCTAAACCAAAATAGGCCTACAATTTTTCCATTCTAAGGCAAGGATTTTCTCTTGACATTAAATTTGACATAAACACAGAAACATTGGTTCTCATTATATCTTCAGTCAACACTATTGTATTTCCTACAAGGAAGGGACTGCGAGAGCAGTTATTCCTGCAACCCGCAACGACATAGATGAGATCTTGGAATTGACACTAGCAGTTTATTGAGCAAATTACAAATGACAAATTCTTTATTTAACCTGCCCTGAGTTAGACCAAAGGTCCACTCTTCCCCCAGGACAGGACAGAGGTACAGAGGACAGAGGTGTGCAGAGGTGAATTAAGACAAGACGAACGGTGGTTGTGGCAGTGAATTCGTGCCAACGACTTGAATTGGTTTGATTGTTTCAGTTAAACAATTCTATGTTCTGCAGCGGTAAAATTATATAAATTCAACTGTGTGATTTAATCTATAAGAAAAGAAACAGGGCTTAAACAACACAAGCAATTCAAGTCATGTCAGATTTAGTTATAGGGCAAAATCGTAAAGTGTTATGCTATAGGCCTACGTTTGGTTACCAAAAACACGATTGAAGCTGATCAAGCTGGCAAAGTTGCAGAGTAAATTTCGAAACATTGTCAAATATAAACTTCTAAAATAGGCTTTACCTTCGACACTGCAGCTCAAATACTGGTGGTGTAACTACGTTACGGCCGTTTCGGCATTACGGCCGTCGGCTTTTTGCTCGGAGCGGGAACATGTCAACCGTTAGTACGACAGGTCTGATCGGTTTTTGTAAATATTTTAAATGTTTCGTTTGTTCGTGTGCGTTATATGTTTAAACTTCAACGACGCTACTTCAGCCGAGTTTTTGGTGTCTGACGATGGCATTGTAATGCCTAAACGGCCATAACGTAGTTACACCACCAGTATTTGAGCTGCAGTGACGAAGGTAAAGCCTATTTTAGTTAATATACAGCTCAGGGGCTAAATCATGGATTTTAATAAACTTCTACTTCTTTGTACGGTTTTAATGCTAGTTGTTAGTGCATTAGAACTATCTCATTAACGTTATCTTGAAGACTGGTAAGACAGCGCGGCGCGGGCGGCAGGCTCGTGTGAAGTGCATGTAACCTTTACCCGCGTGTCGCGGTAGCAGTGTCTATATATCAGTCGTGTCGTGCCGCTTATCAGTGACAACCTGTCGTTATCAGTGGCTGAGATCAGGTGTCGCACCGCTGTAGTGTCCAGGTCAACAACACCAATGCAAAGCCTAGGCCAACAACATCATTCATTAACCCACGACCTCTTGTAGCTACTGGTCCAACTACAATACAATATCTGTCTCCAAGATTTTCCATTTTCTTTCACGGATGTTCTTCTTTATATAGTGGAGAACTTGTCAGTGACAACTTTACTTGAGTATCCAATGTAGGTAGACACATGCCTAGTAGTACTTAGTAGTACTGCCTAGTAGTAGTAGTACTAGTAGTACAGTAAGTAGAGGTACCATCTGTATACACAAGAACAAGTTGTAGTTGATGACATAGTGTGTTATAATTGAATTTTTTTTGTTGAACATTAAATGTGCCATAGTTTATAATACGTAGCCTTTTTAGTCCAACATGATTATAACATTCTGTTTACTTCATTTTACTGCAGCACTCTCTGTTACTGTCTTGATTGGGCTAAATATTTAATCAAACAAACTGGCTACAACCATAGATTAACCTATTCTTACCCAACGTATAATCAAAGGGGGCACATAACGAATTTTGACCTGACAAGTTTTTTTGACAACAAATTCTTCGAAAACAACTAAACAAAGTAAAATGTTTGGGTGTGTTGCTAGCCTAGTAGTTAGGCACGGGCGGGTTCGGTTCTAGGCACACCTCAAAACATATGGATTTGGACCTGTTTCCCGAAAAGCGTTTGTACCTCCGATTCCTCATCCTTTAAAATGCCACAGATGTACCTAATAATAAAAATAATGTAATTCATACACAGCAGTTTTTGTTGGAAAATTGTGAATTGAACAAAGAACTACGTGCTAACAGACTAGTCTCAATGCAGAATGCAGACCAAGAACCAATGAGTTTTTTTAGCACTTATAGGCTACTCCGAATCATGTGGCGAGAGGGACGTCTATAAGTAGTAAGTTTAACCTATGGTTTGAGCTCCTGTACGTCATCACCTCACCTGACCTAACAACTAATTACCAGCTGGGGTCGACACCGGGCAGTCCGCCAGACATGCTCGGCCACCTACCACCAGCTACTGGAGGTTGATTAATTATTATGATTATCAGTTGTCTTCTTGTTTGTATAGATCGAAGATTGTCTCTATCCCCGTGTAATGAGGATTAATTATGTATTCGTGGAACTGCATTCGACTAGGCATCGTTAGAAAATCGTTCTTTATTCTCGATGGATGCGATGGACCAATGTGCTCTCTTACATATTGATCGTCCCCGGTTTATGATGCAAGCGTATTGTTGAAAATACATAAAACTACATATAATAACTTTAGTAAAGTTATTATTAAAAGTTTTATTAGGCGTATTTCGATGTATTTTCAGTAAATTGTAATAACTCGTGTGATGCTAATCAAGAAGTTATGTAGGTACCTATTGTTGTTGTATGTTGTATTGCTGTTATAGGTACTTAATGCTTGATTCTTGATATCTCGCGAACATATTATAAGATTCATCACGAAGCTCAATTATTTTTAGTAACCAACCTTATTTCATAAACATCAATCATGTGTAGGGAAGAATAATTTTAAATTAGTTAGCTATTTAAATTAAAGGATGCATTCATCATCGTATTTTTTCCGTTTTTAGGAAACCATTCAATACAAATTCTCGCTCAAGTTAACCAAAGCAATCAAGTGTGGTATAATAGCTGCAAATTATATTTGTCAGTACAGTATATAAGATCGGGAATAATACATATACCTTCCCAGACGTTTGTAGGGCTTCCTAAATGTTCACTTTGATTGGTAGATGGTTTATTATTGCCTTAAGGACAAACGTAGGATGGTATTTTATCAATCCAATAAATTTAAAAATCTTTGAACCGTCATTCTTCATTTATTGAAAAAAAATTTCATCTTTAAAATTTAAAACGTTCCATTGGTCAAATATGGGGTAGCAAATTGTAATACTTTTTTGAAATAATGGGTTATAACAAGATTATTCTCACCAATGATCAAATAAAAACGTCGGCTTATGGCCAGTTAGTCCCGCTGTGGTGTGATAATGCCCAAACCCGGCACTCGACACTCTAATGTATCTGCCGGATCATTGAGGGTTTAATCATTTTAATCGCCTCGGTTGTATATAGACATATTATTATATTATTAAATATTTGGAAATATAACTGACTTTTAAAATTTTTTGTTTAGTTCATAAGCAAAAGAAGTTCCCAAAATGTTAAAAACCGCCTTTTTCAATACCGTAATTATAACTACAGATATGTTTTTATCTATTACCTGCATCTAGTGGTTCGTAACTGAAAAAAACTCAACAATTTTTAGTTGGGGGTTTAATTTTTGCGGAGCTAAATGTACGGAACTTTATTTCAATTCAAAATTTAAAGACGACTTTATTTAAATTCATTGAGTTAATTTAATGCCAACTGCTCCACAACAACAGTTTCATTTTAATGTGGACACATTTTTTAGACACAAAAAAATATTACTATAAAACCCAACCTGAGAAAGATACTTGCAATTAAACATGATCATTACTACAGTCTTATTAGTAATCGAACTAATAACAATGTCCACTTTCTACTTATCTGTAAATTACATAATATCTGATAAAGTTTACTTACAAAATCACAAGGTTTCGCATTTCCGGAAAAGCGTTTGAATGCAAACTTGTCAACTGGTTGCTTCCGAGATTTCTGAAACAAAGTTACAATTCATCGATAAAGTTTGTCAAGTGTGCATAAAACGGTACTTTCCTGTTAAAGGGAACATTCATTATTATCGATGATTTTTTTTCTCGATATATCGATATTAACAAATTGAAACGTATCAGCTGACAACTACGATAAATATTGTTCAGTATCAACAAACAATAATGAAATGAAACTGTTCTAAAAAAAATAACCTAACATAACTAACCAAACTTGCTGTGTAACATTCCATGTCTAACTTGCCTTTTCTGTTATCAAAAGGAATTTTTAAATAGTACAGCAAGTTTGGTTGGTTATGTTAGGTTAGCTAATCCATATAATAGACTATTTTAGCCTAAACAATATCAGTTGTCAATATGTAATGGATCGGTAAACAAAAATATCGATATATCGAAAAAATCATCGATTATAATGAATGTTCCCTTTAACAGGAAAGTACCCATAAAACATATGGATTCTTTCAAAATATGCCTGTACTAAATCCATTTTGTGCAAAGAGGTTTTCGCCATACTGTACTACTATGTTTTCTAGTTTGCAGGCTTAAATTAGTTCATTTAATCTCTAGGGTAGAAGAGAATCAGGTGGAGTATGTGCTATATTTATTTACATCCAGAGTTCGTCCGCTAAAAAAAATCGTTCTAAAGAACAATATACACAAGCGGTCGTCCAGTGGTCGAAACTCGACCAAAAATATGTAATGTACAGACTTCTCTATTTTCACCCCACACTGTAAATAAAACATGTGATTGAAGTTTCTTCCATTTGTTTGATTTTCTGTTTATATTTCGTTGTTATTTTTCACCAGCATGGCAATCCATAAGATCCATGTTAATTTTTTCAAAATTTTTAAATTCAGTTTTTGTGCTTATTTTTGAGCCTCTTTTAATTTATAAAGGGATTCTGTACATCTACAAAAAATATCTTTCCAACAGTATGCGTAGATTTTCCCTGCGATGCACACGAGCTGAGATAAAGGTTTTAAAGAAACATGCTTGCCTATTAATATATAAATAGATAGTATGGTTATTAACGTGTAAGTTTGTTATCGTGTCACATAGTATAACATTGCGATAAATACAACATCATAACCTATTGTACTGATTTGAAAGGAAACACATATTTAGTTCGAATTTTTTATGGGGTCGGCGATGTAATACTTATTTGTTTGTTAATGAAGATGGAAACCATTTACAGAACTTCTAAATGAAGTTAAAATGTACAATATTGTTATAACTGTTTGGATGAAAGAATGCTTTACTATGACGATGAATATAAAGGGTAAATTTAATTGTCCCCCCCCCAACTTTTAATTGCCCCCCCCCCAACTTTTGTCTAGGTTTTTTCAAATATCAATCCCAGACCACTTCCAAACATTGTTGGGTAGTAAGTACTTTATTTTGACAAGGTGGTCATTTCCGGCCACCATCTTGAATCCGCCATATTGGATGCAAATTCTTTTTTTTTTTTTCAAATGTAAAGGTGGGGTTGTGACCCATTATTTCGAACTAGATTTTTACCCTGATTACAATGCCGCAAATTGTTTTTAAAAATCTTGATTCATTCTAAAGTTATGAGGGTTTTTTAAAACTTTATTTTTAGCCCATTTTTACATTGCGCATTTACAAACTAAGACCATAATCTCAAAATAGTGCTGGATAAAGATAAGTATACACTACCAGTAATTGTCGACCTATTTTCACTTGGTTATGACTGATGTATTTTTTTCGGCCGCCATCTTGGATCTACCATTATGAAATGTGATAAATTATTTTAAATATGAAGGGGGTGTTTTGACCCATCATTTCGAACTTCTTTTTTAAGCTTAACTCAATGCCGCAATTCATTTTTTGTTATCAAGTTTTATTTATGAAATATTGCATTTTTTTTGTAAAAAATGACAATATTTAAAAATCAAAAAATGAAAATGAAAAATGGATCATGGAATTAAGTTCAGCTTTAAAAAGTAGTTAGAAATGATGGGTCAAAACACCCCCTTCATATTTAAAATAATTTATCACATTTCAAAATGGCAGATCCAAGATGGCGGCCGAAAAAGATACATCAGTCATAACCAAGTGAAAATAGGTCGGCAATTACTCGTAATGTATACTTATCTTTATCTAGCACTATTTTGAGATTATGGTCTTAGTTTGTAAATGCGCAATGTTAAAATGGGCTAAAAATAAAGTTTTAAAAAGCCCTCATAACTTTAGAATGAATCAAGATTTTTAAAAACAGTTTGCGGCATTGTAATCAGGGTAAAAATCTAGTTCGAAATAATGGGTCACAACCTCACCTTTATATTTGAAAAAAAAATGTTGCATCCAATATGGCGGATCCAAGATGGCGGCCGGAAATGACCACCTTGTCAAAATGAAGTACTTACTACCCAACAATGTTTGGAAGTGGTCTGGGATTGATATTTGAAAAAATGTAGAAAAAAGTTGGGGGGGGGGACAATTAAAACTAACCCTGTATACTTCATCCCAATTAGTTGGCAAAAATATCTTTTCAACCCTTGATCATTTTACAAAAATCAGATCCACCTAAAAGTATGAATAATTATATACTATTTGCTATCTTATACTTTTAAGATGGCTTATACCTCCAATATTAATCCCAAGTTTACTTAAAAATGGCAGTTTATGTGTAAAATATATATTTAAAGGGTACCATTAGGACAAGTTACTATCTTATGCCCTTTGTAACATTATATCGTTTTCAAGGCTCGGAAAATAAATCTTACAAACGAAACTTTGTTTAAGAGGCTTCCTAAAGAATGATTCAATTTGTATTACTTATAAAATAATTAATAGGCTTTCTCCTTTTATTGTATTTTATATTCCCTTTACTCTTGGGACCTAAGAGTCTTTCAACACGAGTTAATTAATTGTAAGACGATTAAGTTAACGAAATATAATGCCTCAAAGAGTTAAAAAGTAACATCGTTTGAGAATTGCTTATACATTTGCTTTATTAACGAATACGTGTTCGAAGGATAGGCCTACGTTTAATTGAGATAAATAAAGTTAGGACAATCAGGAGTCAGGACACTGCAAATGTTGTCTGCTAAAATTTTACAATCTTACGTATATTTTATGTAAAAAAAAAAACGTGTATAAAGCGATGATTATTGGTTGTAGTACACAAATATCTTATCATATGTCATATCAGAAAATATCTATACCACATAAGTATGACTAGTGAAAGTAATGAAAACTTACAAGGCCTCAAGAAGTGTAAGAGAAAGTAACGCATCAGTAGGAACATTGTCTAGTTTGTTGCCTTCAAGCCTCAAACTCCGCAGCTGACCCAAGTTCTGGAAACTCTCAGGCTCCACCCTCCATAGTTGGTTACCATCTAGTTGTCTGTAACAAACAACATTTCCATCAGTAGGAACATTGTCTAGTTTGTTGCCTTCAAGCCTCAAACTCCGCAGCTGACCCAAGTTCTGGAAACTCTCAGGCTCCACCCTCCATAGTTGGTTACCATCTAGTTGTCTGTAACATACAACATTTCCATCAGTAGGAACATTGTCTAGTTTGTTGCCTTCAAGCCTCAAACTCCGCAGCTGACCCAAGTTCTGGAAACTCTCAGGCTCCACCCTCCATAGTTGGTTGCCATCTAGTTGTCTGTAACAAACAACATTTCCATCAGTAGGAACATTGTCTAGTTTGTTGCCTTCAAGCCTCAAACTCCGCAGCTGACCCAAGTCCTGGAAACTCTCAGGCTCCACCCTCCATAGTTGGTTACCATCTAGTTGTCTGCAACAAACAACATTTCCATCAGTAGGAACATTGTCTAGTTTGTTGCCTTCAAGCCTCAAACTCCGCAGCTGACCCAAGTTCTGGAAACTCTCAGGCTCCACCCTCCATAGTTGGTTACCATCTAGTTGTCTGTAACAAACAACATTTCCATCAGTAGGAACATTGTCTAGTTTGTTGCCTTCAAGCCTCAAACTCCGCAGCTGACCCAAGTTCTGGAAACTCTCAGGCTCCACCCTCCATAGTTGGTTACCATCTAGTTGTCTGTAACATACAACATTTCCATCAGTAGGAACATTGTCTAGTTTGTTGCCTTCAAGCCTCAAACTCCGCAGCTGACCCAAGTTCTGGAAACTCTCAGGCTCCACCCTCCATAGTTGGTTGCCATCTAGTTGTCTGTAACAAACAACATTTCCATCAGTAGGAACATTGTCTAGTTTGTTGCCTTCAAGCCTCAAACTCCGCAGCTGACCCAAGTTCTGGAAACTCTCAGGCTCCACCCTCCATAGTTGGTTACCATCTAGTTGTCTGCAACATACAACATTTCCATCAGTAGGAACATTGTCTAGTTTGTTGCCTTCAAGCCTCAAACTCCGCAGCTGACCCAAGTTCTGGAAACTCTCAGGCTCCACCCTCCATAGTTGGTTACCATCTAGTTGTCTGCAACAAACAACATTTCCATCAGTAGGAACATTGTCTAGTTTGTTGCCTTCAAGCCTCAAACTCCGCAGCTGACCCAAGTTCTGGAAACTCTCAGGCTCCACCCTCCATAGTTGGTTACCATCTAGTTGTCTGTAACATAGATATAGTATAGCATTTAGTATAACGTACCCATATATTTTAAAATTATAAAAATATTCATTGGCCATCAGCAAACTCAACAATGGTGGGACATGGCAGATAAAAATAAAATTCCACTCAACAGTATTTATACTAGTATAAAAAACCTATTCGCAGTATCCAAAGATAAAACTTCGTACATACTTGAAAAAATATTACCGGAGAAGATTTGTGTACAGACCAACGATAACGAATTGCTCTATGTCCAAACTTTTCCTTACCAACTTTGGTAAAAGCACTTCAAAGAAATAAAAGTTGACAAATTGTTGCCTCAAACAGTAGCGTTAAAAGTTAGCAGCAGTCTTATCATCGCCGACATTGTGGCAAGTTCCCGTCAGATAAGTGAATGTTTGCTCAGCTTGTTGTCTGCATTGAGAGAGTTGTGCGATAGTTTGTAAATGCGGATAACTTTCTCACTTTACATAATAATTTATCTCAATCTTTATATCATAGTAGGTGTGTACAACTAAATGAAGTTCCGATTTCTTTGCTATACATTTAGATTTTTACTAAGTTAATTTTTGTTCAGTAATAAGCTTAAAGTAGTTTGAACTTATTCTACCGTTTCGCCTTAATTACACGATTTTTTCGTCAGGATTTCCTTTAAATATTTTCTTGTATCATACAAAGTCACCGACATATAACTACTTAAAAAGTGAGTTTGTCAATAACTTAATGAAATAGTTATAAACAAAAAGAATAAGCAAATTACGATTACACGCAATTGTCAGAATATTAGCCTAATTTATTTAAATTTTAAAGGGCAAAGCCACCTTATAGGACATAAAATCAAATTTTACATGTAAAACCTAATTAATATAAATTTAAACATAACAATTTGGCCATAAACATAATAAAATGTATTTACTATGATTAATAATTTGCCCATTTAATACATTTAGATATAAACTACACAGTATTTTAACCAATAAAAAAATGACTAACCTGAGTAACTTCAACCAGACCTATAATGATATCCGCGGAACACAATGGAAATGCTGATGGCCCGGCTGTGAGTGCTGAGGAGGCCTATCCATCAGCACAGTTCGCCATCAGGCTGATGTGTTTGTCGATAACATTCAGCCGCTGTTCAGCGAGGGCAACTTTAACTGTTTTCACTTAGTAGAAAGTTCTGCAGCTGATGAACCAGCAATAATATCCATCTTAGCACATTTATCTAGTATTAAATTCAACTTTGATCCTAACCATATTGTTCTGATAGTAAGTCAAGCGTATCAAAATATGATTTCATAAAAAAGATCGTACTTTCGTTTAGCTATGATGAAAGTCTATTCATCGTGCATTTTGATTTTTAATCCGTGTTTTGAAAAGTGACGAATAAATATTCCTACATAATTCTAATGAAATATGACTAAGCGGGTATTCTTAAAATTTATTTTTATTAGTTTGCTTGATTTATTGAAACCTGAAAGCTGCGTTTGCAACTGCCTAATCCAGCAATCTGCAAAAGCGTTGTCTTTATCTATTGAACGTGTCTTTTCTAAGAGCTATACAGTAGGACGAAAAGTGGGTTTACAATTTGTATCACTCATTGTTTGCTAATATAAAAACAAGATTAAAATTTTTTTGACTTATATAAAAACAAGTATTATCACAAGATTTTTAAATTGTGTGAAATGAATGTAAAATGTATCTATGTTACTCGATTGTTTAGAAAATTTATTTTCAATTTCCTGTTATTTATTTGTAGACCAGGCATTCAGCAACTAAGCTCCACTCAACACTTAACTGAGAATAAAATCATACATCAAAGCTTGAATATAAATCAACAACAAGGGGTTTCCTAAACAAACCCGTATCGTGATCAAACAACAAAATCAGCATAACGTTACAAATGCATTTTAAAACAACAGTTACTATATGTTCAATTAGTTACTTTGTCTAAAAATAGTTCTACGGGTCAAGGAAAATAATAAATTAAAATAAAAAAAACAAACTTCGCTCACAAAAGTAGCATGTAGGCTTAATTGTTCTCACTATAAATCTAATTTTTATGTACACGAGGCTTTTGCGTTGTACAACGTTTATGTGAATTGTAGTATCTCAAGGAAGTACACTTTGAGGGTGGAAGGGCAGTAAGGGAGGGTCTCTTATCAGAGGTAGAGGGAAGCAGATATCACAACTCACGACCTCTAGTCATGGTAGCACTGTTGCTCTTATCACCATCATGCCCCCGTGATAACACTGAACTTTACCTAGACAAGGTACACAGTGAGGGTGGAAGGTCAGTAAGGTAGGGTCTCTTATCAGAGGTAGAGGGAAGCAGATAACACAACTCACGACCTCTAGTCATGGTAGCACTGTTGCTCTTATCACCATCATGCCCCCGTGATAACACTGAACTTTACCTAGACATAGTACACAGTGAGGGTGGAAGGTCAGTAAGGTAGGGTCTCTTATCAGAGGTAGAGGGAAGCAGATAACACAACTCACGACCTCTAGTCATGGTAGCACTGTTGCTCTTATCACCATCATGCCCCCGTGATAACACTGAACTTTACCTAGACATAGTACACAGTGAGGGTGGAAGGGCAGTAAGGGAGGGTCTCTTATCAGAGGTAGAGGGAAGCAGATAACACAACTCACGACCTCTAGTCATGGTAGCACTGTTGCTCTTATCACCATCATGCCCCCGTGATAACACTGAACTTTACCTAGACATAGTACACAGTGAGGGTGGAAGGTCAGTAAGGTAGGGTCTCTTATCAGAGGTAGAGGGAAGCAGATAACACAACTCACGACCTCTAGTCATGGTAGCACTGTTGCTCTTATCGCTATCATGCCCCCGTGATAACACTGAACTTTACCTAGACATAGTACACAGTGAGGGTGGAAGGTCAGTAAGGGAGGGTCTCTTATCAGAGGTAGAGGAAGCAGATAACACAACTCACGACCTCTAGTCACGGTAGCACTGTTGCTCTTATCACTATCATGCCCCCGTGATAACACTGAACTTTACCTAGACATAGTACACAGTGAGGGTGGAAGGTCAGTAAGGTAGGGTCTCTTATCAGAGGTAGAGGGAAGCAGATATCACAACTTACGACCTCTAGTCACGGTAGCACTGTTGCTCTTATCACTATCATGCCCCCGTGATAACACTGAACTTTACCTAGACATAGTACACAGTGAGGGTGGAAGGTCAGTAAGGGAGGGTCTCTTATCAGAGGTAGAGGGAAGCAGATAACACAACTCACGACCTCTAGTCACGGTAGCACTGTTGCTCTTATCACTATCATGCCCCCGTGATAACACTGAACTTTACCTAGACAAGGTACACAGTGAGGGTGGAAGGTCAGTAAGGGAGGGTCTCTTATCAGAGGTAGAGGGAAGCAGATAACACAACTCACGACCTCTAGTCACGGTAGCACTGTTGCTCTTATCACTATCATGCCCCCGTGATAACACTGAACTTTACCTAGACAAGGTACACAGTGAGGGTGGAAGGTCAGTAAGGGAGGGTCTCTTATCAGAGGTAGAGGAAGCAGATAACACAACTCACGACCTCTAGTCACGGTAGCACTGTTGCTCTTATCACTATCATGCCCCCGTGATAACACTGAACTTTACCTAGACAAGGTACACAGTGAGGGTGGAAGGTCAGTAAGGGAGGGTCTCTTATCAGAGGTAGAGGAAGCAGATAACACAACTCACGACCTCTAGTCACGGTAGCACTGTTGCTCTTATCACTATCATGCCCCCGTGATAACACTGAACTTTACCTAGACAAGGTACACAGTGAG